GGCTGTGACAAAGGGTGAGCTCTTCCCACCTGGGAGAGGAGTTGCATGGGGAATTGAGATTAAAGCCTTAAGGGAGAAAGGAAGACCCACTCCAATCATTCACACCAGCTCTTTCTAATACAGACCAACTACTGCGGTGTCTGCAGTCAATTCCCAGTCTTGAATTATGTGTATATTATGTGTATAGTATGTGTAGGGATTGCTTTGCCTAACTTCAGCTGCTCTGCAGTGACATTCCAGCCCACTACCTTTCCCTAGGAGAAGACGGCAAGTGACTGTTCATTCAACCCATGTCACCTCAGCAACCCAAAGTTCCCCCTTTCATTTGTTTATGTTGAGGCATGGCCTTTTTGATGCTGCTACATCAATGTTTTCCCTGAAGGCAGTCGCAAAACAGAAATGCAGCCATGGGTATTGATGCCTGACCTTAAGGGAATGTTTCTTCTTTTTCTTCTGTGTTTCAACTGGCTCAAAGAATGGTCAAGAGAAGCTTTTCCTTGAATACAACTGAAGGCATGTCAGATGGGGTTTGACCAATCTGCTCTGAAGTATTCCCTTTCTAAGAACTCCCACATTCTCCAGTCGTCAGCTTGAGCTCCTTCTTGAGCTAAGCTCTTTGTCAGGCTTTATAAAACAGTGGTTAATTTCTTCCATTTCAGACGCAGAAGCCCTGAATAGTTGTTGCTGCCTACTTTGAGTTTCACATGCTTGTGAAACTTTGAAATCAATGGCATTAAACTAACCTCAAGTTGGTGTTATTTAGCGATGATTCATACCCATTGAGTCACAATGAAATGTCTCATGCTGTAAGTAGCTGGCCATTGAAGAGCTATCTTGCTTGTGCCCTCCACCTAACTAAGAAGCAGAGCAGGGTCTGTGTGAACTTTTCAAAGGATCTTTAATCAGAGTTACAACATCATTTTGTTTTTCACTGGTTAGCAGCAGTACACAGGCAACTTAAGTATGCTCAGGGCATCTGAGACATTTTAAGCTCCATACAGAGATGGCAGAAAAAGAAATGGATGTTTTGATCCAAGACATGGTGACTACACTTTCATTCTGGTTGGCCCTTCTGCACCCTGCTTCTGGGTGAGTACAACACAAAGGGTGCGTGCACCATAACACCATGCTCTTTGGCAGCTGAACTGGATGTCACACTTCTGTGACAGTCCATGGATCAACAAAATAATCTTGCCTGTGAAAATACTCCACTTTCTCAGTGCCCAGCTTAAACGACAGAGGAAACATCCTTGGGAATTACTAACTACCTCCAACCTCCCCACCTCCCACTCCATGACCTACTCCTGTCCATTAGAAGCATGCAGCAATACACAGGTGTGGGTAAGAAACCCAAACCAGCCTTTTAGAAAGAATGTACTTCAGTGCACGGGCATCTCCCTGGTGGAGAGGAGAAAGAACAAACAACAGATGTTAGTCACGTTGCTTAGCACACTACTGGAGGGCATTCAAATATACTGTGACTAGTGCGCTGTAAGGACTTATATGGAATAGTTTCAGTTACACACAATGAACTGTTAATTCCTTTGGAGCACCCAAGGCAAGAAATTTAATGACAGTTTAATGTCGTCTTGATAAATGTCCACTTATGAAGAAGAAACACGGATCCAGTGGTTTGGGAAAGAAATTATGGAAAAGGCACTGTCACTTTGAAATTAAGACTACAATAGATGTCTCCATTTAAAATCTAATCTTTCTCCTTTTCTTCACCACGGAAAAGCACACCAACAGTGTGGTGCATTAGTGCCTTAATGTGCGGAAGAATTTTTCTAGAGAGGCCCTCAGTGACATGGGTTAGTGGTGATCTTGGCAGTCCTGGGGTAACAGTTGGACTTGATGGTCTTCACAGTCTTTTCCAACTGAGTTGATTCTATGATTCTAAGGTGCTATGATTCTAAGATTCAGCAAAACTGAAGCAAATCAACAAGGACAGCTCTGTGGCACTGACTTAAACACAATAATCTGCACACCTTCTGCAGGATGCTTTTCATTTGTCATAAAATTGAGGTCCTGGACTTTTTTCCTTGGAAAAAAGGCACTTCAAAATACAAACAAATCATCTTAGAGGCCTGAGAAACAGAGAAGGCAGTTGCTCTCTCTTACATGCACTGGGAGGACTTCTTGCTACCACTCAGCAAGAAGTTTGAGATAAGTGTGAGATAAAGTGGTCAGTGTCAGTGTGAGATAAGGTGGTCAGCCCACCAAAGGAAGATTTTGGTCCTGAGATTGCTGAGGAGCACTGGGTAGGGCTTCTCTTGCAAAAGAAGACTGCTTTCCAGCTCACTTCAACTTATCTGACAGAGAAATTAAGGATCTTTCCTTGCATAACTCCCTTAATGCTGACAGGATGTTGAAGGCATACACCTATAGTCCCAGAATATATTACAAGTCAACAGGTTTTCATAAGTAAAAGAGAACAACAGTTCTCAGTACATATAATACATAAAATACAGTACACAAATGATAGAAACAGGAAATTCACAGCTAAGCCTGTACCACAAAGCACCCTAATCCTGTTCCTCCACAAAATTCGAGACATGCCAACTTCTCCATCTCTTGGGACAACATGCTGACAAGTGACCATACGGATGAGTAGTCTTCAGCCACTATCTTCATCTTCCATGCATTTCCTGGTTTACAGGCCTGAAATAGCACTTCCCTTACATTCACTGTGCATGTATGCACATGGCAGCCTATAAATTCCAAAAATATATTAGATTGAAAAACAACCAGTCTCTCTGTTTCATTCAGTGTCCAATTCTTCCAGTTGCTGAGGTAGGGCTTTCAAAAGCATCTCACTGCTCCACATGCCTAAGTCTCCATCAAACCTCTTATAAAACCCATGAAGATCTTAATTGAATCTTTAGACTCACAATAACCTTGAAAACCTTCTTGCCCTGTGAGTGACAGGGGTGCTTACCTGCCTCTAACCTGGAAACACATGAGTTAACTTATCCTGTTTGAGAACCTTAGACTGAAAGGCAACTCTTCTCAGACACAGAATTTGTATGCCAAATCCTTGCCTCTGTTTTTCCCAGACTTTTTGGGCCTAAGTTCTGCTGTGGAGTATCACACAACCTAATCATCAGGCTTTTAGCTGAAAATAGATAGATGGGAGATAAGTTTCTATGGTGCTCTCTTCATAGCCATAGAGACAGTCATTTGGGAATACACTACCATCCGTCATGAAATTAGAGCACTTGCCTAAAAAAGAGAAAAGTCTGTAGTGACAAAAGACTCCCTGGCATCTACTGCACACACACATTAACTGAAGCCAAAATAACAGTATGCTCTGGTGCACACTTTCAATAATCTTCAGGCAAGAGACAAGAAAGACAGAGTTTCTTTACAGGGTAGAAACAGACACTTGGGGAGTATGAAAATGTAGACTGTGTTTTGAGACTCCAAAGCCATTCAACTGACATGTTTGCAAAGAATACCTTGACTCTGAATTCTCTGGGCTGCCAGCACTTGGTTTTGGTTTGTTTAGTTTTATTCACCTCCCACATTCCTGAGCAGTAATGTCTTCTGAAGCCACAGAGGGTGCAGGCAACTGTTGCTTTACTGTTCTGGTTATCAAAATAGACACTGTACTTGTAATGATACAAGCAGGCTAACCACAAAAAGCAGAGCTTTGGAACCCAGCAGGGATGGTTAAGGGTAAGGCAGCTGTGCCCAGTGTGTGGAAGAAGCAGACAGACAGCTTCTTGCATCAGAGGAATTTTGGGTGCAGTGAGAAAGCCACAGACCCAGCCTCCCAAAGTATTAGACGGGCACTTGCGCTGTTGCATAGCTGGAGACAGTAAGCCAGCAATGCAGCATGAAAAAGGAGAGGACTGTGGGTCATCCAGGGCTGCTTTTTATTTCTACTGGCTTTTGTCCTTCCATTGTCTGTGCTGTGAGGTTTCTCTGCATGGAAGAGCAAAGTCTGGGTGTGACCCAAATGTGGAATTTATGTATTTGTATGCAGAGACTGCATAGGAGTTCAGCAGACCTGCGTCTTTGAGATGTGCAATATGTGCATGCAGGCCCGTGCACACTGTAGGATTTGAGTTTGTGCATCCAAACTAATACTTGGTTTCAGGATTTAAACAATCATGCAGAACAGAAAAATCAGGAGTCAGAGACACAAGCAGACCTGTTTCAAGTTACTGCCAATGATTATAGGAGCAAGGTGATATGAAGGCCCTGTGCAATGCCATAATAGCAAGGTTAGTAGCAGCCAAAAGATTCACAGGACCTCTTCCAGAAACATCTCATCTTCGTCCTCCTCCAACATTCCCTCTGATGTGCCTGCCTCCCTGGCATTTATCATAGACTGCACCTGAGCAAAAGGAAAAGGGTCATTTGGGAACCTATTTCCTTACCACTGGTGCCCAGAACTGACCTTGTCATTCCCCTGCAGGTTCTGCATTCAGTACAGCATGAACCCCAGCAGCAAATCACAAAGCTGGTGATCCCCCTGACTGACTAGAGGGCAGTGAAGGAGAAGACTCTTTCTCTGCTCCCTTTCCTCTAACCTCCTCCTTTCCCCATGAAGCTCCCCACAATTCTAACTAACTCCCAGACTACTGCCTCACTCCAGTGATGGAATTTCCTGTGCTTTAATTTAATGTTGCAGGATCAGCAGACAGATCTCCTAAACAGGGATGCATGATATATCCCAGTGTGGGATGGAGGGAGATAAAAAAGGGTCACCAGGGACACAGAGGGACCCTATCTCTGTCCCTAAGCTTCCTTCACGTCTCAGGTAGCAATCATCCAGACTCTTCCACCCAGCCACCCTCCTATACCTCTCCTCTGCCTCCTTTTAGAGCACCTGTGGTCCCTTGCACCCTGAGCACTCTGTTCCTGCCCTGTGCTTCTCTCCCTCCCAGACAGGGCAGACATGGAGTGAGACAAATAGTCATGGGTTGACCATGTGCCTTTCTGCTGTGGCCCTAACAAGACAGTCCCCACCAAGCCTCAGCAAGGCACCGTACCTGAACCAACATGAACTGCAAGGGGTCATCGGGCTTCTCGTACACCAGTTTTTCTGTGATCTCCTGAGACAGACAGAAGGAAAGAAGAATTGATCCTTGGGCAGATGTGGTCTGCACTTTCTGCTTCAACAATAGCATCTCTTTCAGTCCCCAAAGATGGCCAGGAGTCCTTTTTCTACTGTATTTCTTAAGTTTACATGCAAGAAAGCACAGGACAAGGAGGGATCCAGGTAAGGGATAATTTAGTCCAAGCTAACATTAGGCCAAACTTCTCAAGCCAGCCTCTGGAAAGAGGAGAAGGGAAAGGGAAATTTCACCTGAAATATCTTCAGGATTTTGTGTTTCTCCATGTACTTAGCAGAGACTTCAAAGGGGTCTTCGTACACCTTTGGCTGGTTCGATGTTTCACACATAGAGGATGTGGGAAAATCAGTGCCAGGTGACCGGTCCTGAGAACCTGGTACTGAAGGTGGGGATTCAGCTCCAGGTGCCCAGTCCTTAGATGTTCCAGCAGCTGGTGGTGTGTTAGATTCCTCCATTTCAGACTCGGCATGATCTTGCTAAAGTATTTAACAGGTAAAGAACAAAAAGTGTTTTAAACGTGTAGCCCCACAGGCCAGATACATCCCATTACTGCACCCTTCTGTTGCAGCCCCTCTTAGAGTAAGCATTAATAGGCTTTAATTTCTGTCTACCCTCTGCCCATGAGCGTAGGAGCTCCATTTAAGCTCATTGAAGCCCAAGCTTTCAGACATGGTCTGAGCTACGCAGTGGGTGTACAAGTGCCTGATCCTCACTTGCTGACTGCTTTACTTCGAATCACAGAATCAACCAGGCTGGAAAAGACCTTTAAGACCATCCAGTCCAACCGTTCCCCAGCACTGCCAAGGCCACCACTAACCCCTGGCACTGAGGGCCTCGTCTACACGGTGTGTGAACACTTCCAAGGATGGTCACTTCAGCACTGCCTAGGGCAGCCTGTTCCAATGCCTGAACACCCTTTGGGGAAGGAATTGTTCCTCATCTCCATCTAAACGTCCCCTGGTGCCGCTTGAGGCTGTTACCTGTTGTCCTAGGGACACACCGTGTGTATATTGCACCCTCCCTGGGGCAGAGGAGGCAGAAGCCACATCACCCACTCGCTGGTGTTGGGGTTCCCGATTGCAGCCGCATCACCTGAAGCAGGGTGCAGGGGGGAGCCCGCATGCCCCGCACCCTACCCCGTTACTGGGAAGGGGGGTGTTCTGCCTGGGGAAGAGGTCCCAGTGCCCGGAGCCACCTCCGCCCGCCCCCCCCAGCCCCGGGCTCTCCGCGGCAGGGCAGGGTTGCGCTTCACCTGCCGCCGGCGCCGGCCTCTTGTGCCGCTCGTCGCTCGCCGTAGGCGGCGGAGAAGGCGGAAGACGCCGCAGCGGTTGCCAGGGAAACCGCCGGCCTTTGCCTTCGTCAGGAGGGTGCTGCCGGGGTCACGTGGGCAGCGCGGCCATCATGGGTGAGGGCGGAACTGGGGTCGGAGTGGTGCGGGGTCCCGGTCCCGGTCCCGGTCCCGGTCCCGGTCCCGGTCCCGGTCCCGGTCCAGGTCCCGGTCCAGGTCTTGGTCTTGGTCTTGGTCTTGGTCTTGGTCTTGGTCCTGGTCCTGGTCCTGTTTTGGTCTCGGTACTGGCCTTGGTCTTGGTCCTGGCCTCGGTACTGGCCGCCACCTGTGTTATCCCCCTTCCGGCAGCAGTTAAATAGGTCTCCTGGTGCGTGTCACCTGGCTGCCTGGGGCTGATGGAAGTGAGAGCTCCCATGGCGAAGGGTCGCTCATAGCTCAGCCTGCACGGGCTTTTGGTTCTGCAGGGAGTTGAGTCACTTCACTGTGAGTTCCAGGGTCCTTTTGGCCTTACCATGCTCTGTGAAGGATGCAGGGGAGCATTTTGCTCCTGTTGGACCTGTTAGTAATTCTATAGTAGTGAGGAGACTTAGAATCATAAATCACAGGGTGGTTTGGGTTGGAAGGGACCTTAAAGCTCATCCAGTTCCAGGCCCCTGCCATGGGCAGGGATGCCTCACACTAGATCAGGTTGCTCCAAGCCCCATGCAACCTGGCCTTGAACAGTGCCAGGGATGGGGCAGCCACAGCTTTTCTGGGCACCCTGTGCCAGTTCCTCACCACCCTCACAGTAAAGAACTTCTTTAACCTGAACTTCCCCTGTTTCAGTTTGAACCCATCACCCCTTGTCCCTGATGAAGAGTCCCTCTCCAGCATCCTTGTAAGCCCCTTCAGACACTGGAAGCTGCTCTGAGGTCTCCATGCAGCTTCTCTTCTCTAGGCTGAACAGCCCCAACTTTCTCAGCTTGGAAGGGAAGAGCAGAGACAAGCTGTATGTGTCTGGTGAGGTGGAAAAGGACATGTCTATTAGCTTGTAAAGAGAAGCAGAGAAGCAAGAGGTAGGGTGGCAGAGTGCTGAGAGAAATATTTACATACATGTCCATGTGAAAAGCACTTTCTTCTGTCCTCACTTCTCCACAGATCTTGACAGTTGGTGTGCTGCGTGATGAGCTTCGTCAGAAAAAGCAAATAAACAGGTCTCCAGTTTCCCCCAAAGGAGATGAAAGGAATAAGGATAAAGGCTGTGCTGGGTTTCCACAATAACCAGCTTCTGAAATACTCTGGTTCATGCTTCTTGAAGGCTCTGTCGAACCAGGCCTTGATCTTGGGCTTGAAAGATGCTTGGTGAAATCTGTAGCATCCTTGAAGGGTGTCAGGCAGTTAGTTGGGTGGATTAGTGGGGAAATTTCAGGATCCAACTTCCTCGATCTCTAGTATACTCCATGGTGTTTGGGACTGTGAGTCTTTGATTTGTGGACCCTGACATATTTCTTCTAGGAGCTGTGGACCAATGGAGCAGGCTTAAGTCTGCAGGCAAAATTTTCACTGATTTGTCTTGTACAGCCCTTAGAAATACTGTGTTCGGCAGTGACCTGTGCACGTTTAAACTCACATTTGCAATCTTTGTAACTGTGAAGAAGTTTTTGCTTGATGAGTTCTTTCTGCCAGACAGTCTGGAAACTAAGACAGCAGTGTCCAGAAACAGTTGAGGTGTGAGTTAGGAGACGTTCCCTTCTCTATTCCAGGGAAATTCGTAGGTATTTCTGAAAGGCAAGCTGTAAACTATTACATCTCTGTCATACTTCAAGGGGCAGATGTTTGCTCCAGTAACTACAGTGAGTTTTAACTGAAGTAGGCATTTGCTTTCAGTTGAGTGTGCTGAACCATCCCGGTGATGTTTTCTCCACAGCATGATTCCCTGTAGAACTTCTCCCATGGGTTTCTCCTCTCTATCCTTTATTGGATGGGACTAAGCAGTTCTCAGCTGCCTGCTGGCTTCAAATAGTGTCCTGCTGTGGGTAAATCTTGAGCCCTATGTCTTCCTTTCATCTGTGCCTCATTGGTAAACAGCAGATCTCTCCATTTCCAACCCCATTGCCTACTGCAGGATTCTGGCTGCTGGGGCTGGAAAGCTAGGATTTTGTACAAGAAAGTAAGATGAATGACTCCATTAAATAAACATCACTGCTCTGTTTATTCTTTCAAAAGAACAGATTACAAAAAGCAGAAGATGCATTTTAAATGCATTAAAAATTCGGAGGAAAATAGTGCCTTAAATACAATGCTCATGTAACATAAATCACATGGCTTTTTTTTTTTGTAGCCAGGCACATGGAAAGCAAAACCGTATTATTATATCATTATTTATATGGCACCATATGCTAAGTCTGGAACTTAAGGACTTTGAAATAAATAAGAAAACACCAGCTGCAGATCAGCAATACGTTCCTTTATTGGGAGTCACTGTGTAACTGTGGCTATCATTCGTGCTGTTAAGTTAAAACTTACATAAATTGTCAGAGAAATAAGATAGCCATTAGAGATTCAGTGTCTGTCTCCTGGGGACACTTCTTTTTCTAACAGCTGTAACAAAGATCTGCTGCTGGTTATGTCCTATCTGTGTAGTAACTCATCGCATTTGTTCCTGCAGTATCACGCAGTTGTTCAGTAGAGATGGTTGAGCTGTTCACTATAAATAATACTGGTTAACAATGCGGTCCCTTTTGGGTTAATAAATTACACTCAAACCACTCCTGAGCCTCTTTGATTGGTTACTTGCAAGTCTGCAATGAAGAGTTGGAACAAATCACTTCCTGCAGTCTGTTCGCTTTGAATATTTCTTCTCATCTTATTGAACTGTAAATATATATATATATAAAATAGCCAAATCTTAAACTCCTGTCACCTCATCTGGTACTTGAAAATCCTAATGGGATGCATGAGATGAAACACATTGGAAAATTAAACATTGCTTAAAGGAGCAAAGGGCCTTTGCCAGCACCAGGAGAATCGGTCCCCCTCCTTTGAGCTGGAGCTGTTGCCAGGGTTTGAGTTTTCTCCCAGACTGAGGTTGCTGGAGCAGACTGGTAAGCAGGTAGCTCACCTGCTATGCGAGCCATGAGGACAGATCCATGGCCACATCGTTCCCGGCATGCTGTGGCTCCAAGAACCTGGAACCTGTGATCTTGCACAGTTTGCAGATGTAGTTGAAGCCTTCCTGAGGTTCAGTGAGCAAAGAGCAGCTTTGTGGCACAGAGCAATGACCAGAAAGACAGGGTGTGAGGGAGAGGCTGAAATGTCTTGCCTCATTCACGTGCCAGCCTATGACTCTGGAGGGGTCGTGTGGTTGCCCTGTGTGTTGGTTCCTTACCTGTATGGTGGGGTGGCTTCTCTGCCCTCTGTTCTTGAGAATGTGAACTACATTACAGACTGGGAGGAGAGCAGATGTCAGTGCATCAGAGCAATGTGAGGAAGCCAGCTCCTGCACGAGGTAGAGTGCTGCATGAGAGGGGAAGAGAGGTGGCCAGCGCTGCTGGCATACACCCAGACTGCTCCCACACCAGCAGCCTTTGATGGGGACCCACTTCTGACAGTGATAGATAGGAGGAGACTGCATTCAGGTGTCTTCTTTTGTACAGGCTGCTCTGAGTGTTGGCGTGCACAGACCAAGCCAGATCCAGCTTTCCCCCTGGTATGGCCTCTTGCCAGGGCTCTGCCCGCATCTCCCAGCAGAGAGCAGCAGAACCTCGTAGGTGCTCGCATGGGCTCCCAGTGCATCCTCTAAGACCTTCTGGCAGTGCTCGTTTCCACAAAACACAGCAGTAAACCTTCACTGAGCTCGCAGGAGCACGTCAGACCTGTTCGGTGTGGGCAAACAGAAAACACGTGCTCACAGTCCTAAGGATTCAGTGCTTTCCTGAGAGCCAAGGTCCTTGCAGAAATCAGGGCGATCTTTCTTGAGGGAATGCTTTCCAGGTTGTCTTTGTGCTCAGTGACAAAAGGGAGTGCTTCAGGTATGGCTTCAGAAAGTGGGGAGATACCTGTAGAAGGTTAAGCAAACCTCTTTCACAGATGCCTGGCATGGACTAGGTAACTCCTTGAGGTATCCTTCAGCCATATCTTTGACAAGGCAGAAGAGAAACATGTTATTAGCTTCTGTGCTTGGACAGATTTGCTTTGGGAACCTGTTTAGCCCACTTTAGATTTAACCTTTTCTATTAAAAATAAACTGTCAGCTGTCCCATTCTTGTGCCCTCACTTTATAATGTTATCACAAATGTTACTGATGGTGAATGGAAATGTGAGATACTGCTTCTTTGCCAAGGTGTCAAAACTAATTAATCTGTATCTAATTTAGACAGCACTCTCCAAAAATCAAGACATAGTCCTCTGTTTGGAAACTGAATTGATGTTCTCTGGGAGTTTAAATAAGCCAAATTTGGGATTATACTTGACGCTCCTCTGTGGCATTAACTCGGGCAGCTTCTGTAATTCCTTGATTGTCCCATTCTAATTCCTGAAACTATTACGGTTTTATACATTCCCTTGGGAAATAATCGTAGACCTCCTAGGAGGCCCAGTCCTTGTGAGGAAAAAGGCTTCAGTTTGCTCTCACCATCACATGGCATGGGAGGGAGGGGAAGCTCTGTTCTGAGACCACAGCGAGACTTCATCCAGTCCTCTCCCCATCAGCTGTGAGATCCCTGAAGGAAGGAAGACTGCAGGCGTGATGTTCACCTGAGGGAGTGGTGCCTGTGGAGGATGCTGAGGATAAGGACACGTTGCTGTGCTCCTTTCTGCTGCGAATCCATCTTTCACCATGAGATGGAGAGGAAGGCATGGTACAGGGCAGGCTTTTGGAAGGCAAATGTATCACACAGTGACAGCAAGACCCTGGATAACCCTATCAGTAGGTCCCCTTGAAGAGGCTGTAATCCACAGATGGT